GCTCAAGTCAATAGAATTTGAGGTGTTCTCAAAACAACAATCAAATTCGCATACTTGTGTATATGGAGTATGTTTCTGTTTATATCATTGAAATGAAGAATTGGTCACTTAGTGTTCACTAAGCACGACGGCGAGAATCTAGGCGTGAGTCTTTTGGCAGTGGGCGAGCACTTGAAATGACTTACTCCATAACCCCTTGGCTCGACCCTTGATGAGGGTGAGGTTTGGGCGAGGTTTCAAAGCATGGCTTCTTGAACCAGAGCACAAATATTATTTAATTATTACTCCTGAGACGCTCAACAAACTCACGTGGCAAGAGTCAAGCTTGAGCACTGTTTAGTGTGACTAAGACTTTTCCTACTCAATCAGAGCCCACGTGTCCTATAGAGAGTAGTTTGCGTGTCCCTAAATTTTATCCCATAACACAATTCATAAAATTTAGTCCAATATTCAAATATTTCACTAAAAACGTTTAATCTTCTCACTCTCTTTTTTATGAAACTTATTGAACTATACATCAAAAAGAAGGTTGCATGAAACAGAAGTTCATTTCATTCTACATTTAGCTAATTTTCTCTTCCAAATGCACAAAGTTATGTTGTTTTGAAAGTTGAGTGAAGATAGAGAGAAAAGTAAAAGTGAAGAAAGAGTTAAAAAAGAGACTTAGATAGAAAGATAAATAATATAGTTTTGTTATATATATGTTCTTCCCAAGAAACAAATTTGAAGTATTTAGTTAAATTTATAAGCACCAAATAAAATTTGCAAAAGATGTTGTAAAAACATGCATGAGATAATTGAAAGGATAGTGAAAGTACTTGAAAATGTTTGATAGATTATAGGTTTCGTCTCTATTCATTAGTTATGAAGATCATCTTATCTAATCCAAGTTTTATTTGGTGAAGTGTTATGTCAGCCATGATTAATGAAAATAATTAAAAATAAAATTTAAGATTAACAAAAGTAGAAGGTAGGATAGTTTTAAATTGATTCAATTACAACATCTCTTTAGGAATTATTTTACAGATATTTTCCAATAAAAATAATGGATAGTTAATTTTTAGATTAAATTTTATTTTGATCTTTCTACATTTAACTTTCGTTTATTTTAGCTCTTTTGCTTTCAAAACGTCTATTTTGGTTCCCGTACTTTCAACTTTGTTCATTTTGGTCCTTATACTTTTAAAACATTTATTTTCGTCTTTTCATTTTAATTTTCATCTAACTTATTTAGACCATGAGACTTYACTTACTAAATTTCTTAAAATGTAGTTATAAATTTGTTTTAAAGAGTTTCCATTGTGTATAAATTTTTTTTTTTAAATTTTACAAATAGGAACTAAATTGATCAYCTTTTTTTAAAGTAAAAAGACCAAAATAGTTATTTTGAAAATAAATAAATAAAATGTAAAAATAGAATGACAAGAATAAACATAAATCAAAATAAACCAAATTCGGAAGTAGAGCGAGGAAAATAAGAATTGAACCTTAATTTTCCAAAGGAGAAAGTAATCCAAAATTATGTATGTGCAATTTAATTTAAATTTAGGATTATTTTGAAATTCATCCATTTTTATGATTTTCTTAAAAAAATTAAATTATGTCAGTAAGGAAGAAAAAGAAAAATCCCCCCATTCCACTGATTACTTCGATAGAAAACAAAGCATACGCTATACATATCTTGAAAGGATATAAAGCTTAATTTTTTTACAAAAAACTTTTGAGTAAAGGGAAAATATCATATAAAAATTAATTAAAAAAACCCCACTTATTTTAAATATTAAAAATAAATAGCTATATTTCAACCAACTTGCAGGTTATATATAAGAGAACACCTTTATTGAGTGAGTCAACACACACTAACCTTTTGAAACCAAATGCACCACTCCAATTCAACTTATCTATTTGTTTTCTCACAAATTTATATTAAAAGATATAAAGTAAAAAAAACAAAACAAAGAATTAAATCAGAATGATTATTTACATATGAGTTGTGACAGTGAACCTAAACATGGTAATGGATTAAGACATATATTCATACTTTTTAGTTTTAATTAATTTAATCCCTATACTTTTAAAATATGACCTTTTTTTCAATTTATTTTAATTTTTATATACTTTATTTCGATAATAATTTTAACCTAATACTTCATTAATTTTTTTAAATATAACTGTTTGTGTTAAAATTTTGTAATTAAGAACTAAATTGGTCCCTTCTTTTTTAAAATTACAGAAAGCAAAAATAAGTATTTTAAAACTACAGAGAGTAAAAGTTGAAATTCTCTTGACCAAGGTAAAAATTTAGGTATATATCAAAATGGACCAAACCAGAATTACTGATGGCAAAATTTATATGTATTATTTTTGTTTCTTTCATCCACACACTTCATGGTGATTTCACACTGACATTATTTATCCTTTTCAAACTCACCTTTTAACTACCACCACCTACATAGGTTAAAATGACTCAATTAAATAAATAAAACCCTTGGATAAATAATAAATACCTAAGAAGAAATTAATTTTCAGAATCTTCAAAATTAAAGAGCTTAAAGGGATAATACAGTTTAATATTAATTCAAAAAAAATATATATATATATATTTTAAGTCAGTTTGATACCCTTAATTTAAATTAAGCTTACAACCACTCCTTTTACCTTTATATTTCTTTATCTTCTTATCAACTTTTTAAAAAGATTTAAAAGGATTTTCAATATCTAAATCAAAATTTAGAAACTAAAACCAATAATTTTCAAAAACTTATTTTTGTTTCTTAAATTTAGTTCAAAATTCAAGACCGAGCTAAAACATGCATGTAAAAGAAAGTTGAATACAAACTACAAAGATCAAAACAGAACCAACAAAATTCTAAAAAATAGGAATACTTTTTTTTCCCCAAAAGGTAAACTGTGTTTTCCTTTGGTCATAAAACTAAAATGTAGTGTTCAAAATTCAGAGAGAGATTGGGAGAGAAAAAGAGAGAAAAATTTGGAAGAGAGAGAGAGAGAGAGAGAGAGGGGGGGGGTAGGTGTAAGATTTGACCGAGCCTACCACAGAAGAAGAACAAGAAGAAAAAAGGCAGCCAATTCCATCCATTCTCTGAAACTTCCTAACACTTCACCCTCAATTCTCCAATTTCCCAACATATATACCCACCCACCCCCTCCTTCCCATTTCAGCTCCAAGCTCCAATTCTACAGACAAACAATCGCCGCCGCCACCTACCACCGGCAGCCGTCGCCACAACCACCGCCACCCGAAACATCAGTCACCACAATCCCAACCATGCAGTCCCTCACGCCCCCTGCTTCTGCTCCGGCCAATTACCTCAACTCCCACAAATTCCCCACTCGCCCTCCCTCCGCCGCCCGCCTCCCCCACTCCCGAGGCTTCTCCGTTCAATGTGCTTACCGGTATGACCCTGTTAGCTTCCCCAACGGCGTTGGCTCCAGCCGTGCTGACTGGCAGAGCTCCTGCGCCATCCTCTCCAGCCAGGTCGTCTCCCAAGAACAGCCCACCGAGCAATCCAGCGCCGATCATATAGCCTCTGTCAACGGTCACAACACCAGCGTTGAGAATCTGAACCTTGTCCCCATCGGAAACCTCGCCGACAGCAACGGGTTGAAGCCGCAACCCAAGCCGCTCACGATTACTGACCTGGCTCCGGCTCCGATGCACGGCTCCAAGCTCCGCGTCGCCTACCAAGGCGTTCCCGGAGCGTATTCTGAGGCGGCGGCCGGAAAAGCGTACCCTAACTGTGAGGCGATCCCCTGCGACCAATTCGAGGTGGCTTTTCAAGCGGTGGAGTTGTGGATCGCCGATCGAGCGGTTCTTCCGGTTGAAAACTCTCTCGGCGGTTCGATCCACAGGAACTACGATCTCTTGCTCCGCCATAGGCTTCACATCGTCGGAGAGGTCCAATTACCAGTCCACCACTGTTTATTGGCGTTGCCAGGGGTGCGAAAAGAGTACCTGACTCGCGTAATTTCCCATCCCCAAGCCCTAGCTCAGTGCGAACACACTCTCACCAAACTCGGCCTAAACGTCACACGCGAGGCCGTCGACGACACCGCCGGCGCCGCCGAGTTCGTGGCGATGAACAACCTCCGCGACACGGCCGCAATCGCCAGCGCGCGGGCGGCGGATCTATACGGCCTCGACATCGTGGCGAACGGAATCCAGGACGATTCCGGGAACGTAACGCGATTCGTGATGCTGGCGAGAGAGCCGATCATTCCACGCACAGATCGGCCGTTCAAAACCAGCATCGTGTTCGCTCACGAGAAAGGAACGTCGGTTCTGTTCAAGGTGCTGTCGGCGTTCGCGTTCAGAAACATCAGCCTGACGAAGATCGAGTCGCGGCCGCACCGGAGCCACCCGATCAGAGTGGTGGACGGCGCCGACGCCGGCACGGCGAAGCATTTCGAGTACCTGTTCTACGTCGATTTCGAGGCGTCCATGGCGGAGCCTAGGGCTCAGAACGCCTTGGCGGAGGTTCAAGAATTCACTTCCTTCCTCAGGGTATTGGGCAGTTATCCTATGGACATGACCCCATGGAGTCCTTCCCGTGAGGATTAGCAATTTTTATTTTTCCTTTTTTTTCTTCTTTAAGATTGTTTAATCATCCGCCGTTGATTCCCCTTCTTATTTTTTGGACCACCAAAACCAAGATTGATAAAATTGTAATAATTCAATTTCCATAATTTTTCTTTTCCTTCTCATAATTTATTATTATTGTTTGTTATCTACTATTTTAATTTTCACCCACCGCTCGTGACGTTGTCGAATCCATGAAAATATAGATATGTGGATGAAAATGTCGACATGTCGACCGTTATTTAGAACCATGGGCATAATACTATTATTTGAATAACCTGAGGACAAATAAATGTTTCTCCCTGTGAAATCTTGTCACTTTTTTTTTAATATAAAATGGGAACGAATAAAATAGGTGGGAACGAAATCTAATCTCTGTAAAATTGTGTTGGTTTAGGTTTGAACTTGAAGTGAGATCTTTTTAAGTAAAGTTTTGAATTAAAATCGTGTTGGTTCGCGTCTTGCTAAAGAAGAGATAAAGTTGAGTGTGGCTTTCATGATCTCAATTTAATTAATTATTTCCATAAATATAGAAAGAGACTTCAACTTTTGTTAAAAATTATAAATTAATCTTTAGGAATATTTTGAGTAATATTTTAAAGTGACACTCTTGTATATGCTCCTCTATATTTGAACTTGTTAAAAGCATTGTATTAAACATTCCGACACGTTGATATTTCCACCAACATGTCCATGTATTTATAGATTTGGTATTGACACAAGGAGTAAATCGACATTTATAAAAAAAAATCGACAAAATAAGAAGATATCAGCAAAATGTCACTAATATATACCTAATCTTAATATTAATAATTTTTAACTTATTTAGAAATGGAAAAATATTTATTTGTTAATTTAATATCTTTTACGATTTTTTTATTTCTCTAACTCTTATAGAAATATTCATCGATATCGATATTTCAATCAATAATTTTATGAAATTGTGACCTCGATATCAACATTTAAAACTTTGGTTAAAAGAATGGATCACAACAACAAAAAAAACTTTGCAGGTAAAAAATAGGTTTGTGACGTAAAAATAACTATAAACATGGGAGGATTGTTTTGTAATTAATAAAAAATATAAATTATAGTAAGTAAAGTTAAAAATAAAATTAATAATGATTTGTAATAAAGAGATATTTGATGGGATGATAACAAATCACCTTCATAGAACCCACAAATATATGATTATAATCTTTATAATTGTTCTTTAATATTATTTATGTATAAATATATTTTCTTTTTAAAAAGTGGAAAATTGACTAGATTTCTCAAACAGGCTCTCTTACCAATCAAATCCTAAAATCATAATTTCTGTTTGGGAAAATGGAAATGAAAGCAGACAGAAAATTTTCCTTTTTTTTGAAAAAATAATTTTACTAACATTTGAAAACTACTTTTAGATGGTAAATAAAATAAAAATTATTATAAACAAATAAATTAAATTAAAAAAAGAAACTTTTATACCAATTTAGTTCACATCACAATCTTCCAACAATAATTTATGATTTGGTTTTAAAATTAGGTTTGGGGGCAGTGTTTGGTGAATTGATTGATTTCCTATTTTGTGGGGTTTCAATATAATTTCAAAACTTTAATATTAGCCATATGAATGGACATAAAATGTCTACCAACTTGTATGTCATTTTGAAACCAAATTGAATAGAAACCTTGCTACTAATATTTGAGAATTTATTTTAAATTTATTGTACGATGGCGAGATGAAAGATTTTGAATACAATATAGAAAATACGATATTGCTTTCGTAATATAAGTAAAAGTCGTAAGATTTCTTGATACTCTAAGAGAAGTCAAAAATCAAAATTGATCCTAATTTTTTTTATATGAAGAAAAAGACGAAGTTGATTCTTTTATTGTTAAATTAGCCAATTCAAATATATGCAGATATAAATTTGAACATATAAAACCTTTAAAGAGTTACATTCATGTCACGATGAATATTAGTTAAGAGAGGTAATGATAAGTTAGATATACATTTTAATGGTGAGTTAAGTATACATTCTAATTTAAATAAATTTTTAAATAAAAAATAGTTTTAATTAAAATTCTTGTATATTTGGTTATATTTATTTAAATGTGTTTTTAGTTGCTTTGTAATTCTACAAATACCATTTTTAATTCATTAAATCAACTTTAAAGTAATTCTTCAAAAAATGATTTTAACTCAATTTGATTAATTTCAAAAGCGAGTTTTATTTATCACAAAAAGATATTAATTAGTTTTAAAAAGAATACTATACGTTCTTTAAAATTAATAATTGAGATGAAATTTATGATAGTAAAATTAAGCATCTATTAAAATTTTGGTAAATTATACTTTTCTTTCTACTTTTGTGTCAGTATTTTGAGAACATCCCATGTAAATCCAAGTTTTGTGAAATAGTTCTATTAAGTCTATTCCTTATTTTACCATTAGTTTATGAANAAAAAGCATTAGATAGATACTTTGGGCCCTTTGGTAATGTTATCAATTTTTTTTTGTTTTCTTCTTTTTAATAAATAAAAAAATGGAGTGTATAGCCTCCAATACCGCATGAATTAAAAAAATGATAAAACAATATTTCTATTATATTTTGAAACAAATTGGAAACGAGAATAAGAAATTAGAAACTTGGGACGCATCTACTAACGTTCTCATTTCCTGCTTTTTGTTTATGATTGTTTTAGAACAAGAAATAGAAATACATTTTGTGTTTATTGTTTCTTGAAAAGAAAAAGAAAACAATATATTTGATAGTACAACTTATTGACAATGAAATCTACAACTATTGATCAAGAATATAGTATTATTTTTTTTAGTTAAAATAAAAGTAAGTAAATATAGTACAAAAAGATATAATACATGTGCTCGAATAATATAATTTATTAAAAAAATATATTATTTACTATATAAATTTATTTCATAAAAAATGTAAACTATTAGCTTTAAATAAAGAATATACTTTCTATGTGTATATATATATTTTTAAAAATGAATTTTCAAAATATTTTTTATTTAAAAAATAAAAGATTTTATTAAAAAGTAGGAAATAAATTAAATGAAAAAAAAAGATACGCTGTTTTACTATTAAAAAGACTTAATCAGTTAATTGCAAGACTGAAGATTGATTATTATGACGCAAATAATTGTAACTATTCTAAAGCCAATAAATAGAAACAGAAAAAAAAAAAAAGAAAAGTAAAACTATTTTGGTAGTTTCCTAAATTTAGTCACTTTTCTTGACACGTTTCTCAGAAATATAAAATTAAAATTTTAATACAAAATCAGCTCTGTTAATATTTAAACTACTTCAGTTTTAAACGTGGATGTCATGTCCCAATTTTGTGGAAATAGATGAATATTTATATAAAAATTAAAGAAATTAATAAATAAATATTCATCTATTTCTAAGTAAGTTAAAATAAATAAATATTAATATTAGGTATAATTTTGTTGATATTTTTCATATTTTGTCTATTTTTTTTGTAATATGATGATATGTCGATTGATCTCTCATATCGATGTTGAACTATGAATACTTGAAAATGCAAATAGAAATGTTATTGACGTGTCGATGAGTATTATTATTACTATTATTATTATTTAGTACAACATGTGGGGGATGGGGGATCGACAACCTCTTGATTGAAGATATATGTCAATTACTGTTAAGCTTTTGACATGTCGATAAATATTTAATATCATTGAAAATTCAGAAGATGAAAACAAAAGGTAAAAGTAATTAAGAACCTATAGTATTAATTTTCATGTTTTCTTCTTATATCCAATAGAGATACAATTGTTGGATTTAGTCTGGCCACCATTTAGTAATAGGTCCCTTGCAATTTAAACATACTAATAATCCTACCTACTTCTTTTTTTTTTTTTAAGAATAATCGTACCTACTTTAATATACTTATATAATATTCTACTAGTATATTATAACTATATAACATTTAATATTCATCTACCGTAGCTGTGTTATTAGTCATGTGCTATTTTATTTTTATTTTTTTATCACTAGATAAAATGGGAATAATTGGCCTTTTTTTAGTACAATAAAGGTAAGGACGGGAGATTGAATCTCCAACTTACAAGTAAAAAGCAATATGTCCTAACCATTGAACTATGCTCGCTTTGGTCGAGAATAACTGGCTTTTTTATGTAAATTCTCTTCTCCCTATGTAATATATCTGTGTCTCATATCTGTATTGAGACGATAAAACTAATATATATATAGAAACATATATTTTAGTTGTCCAAGGCATATGTCCTCGGTGAGATCATTTAGCACTTTGATTGATGTTGGATTTGAGGTTATGATGACTCCAAGGTAATGACTTGCACAGAGACCTCTCGCATGTGGAATGCGTTTGGTTCTACATGTGGTGGAGAATATATCTTATCTTCACCCACCCGCAACGTGACTCATTCACTTTAGAGCGACCTACCATATAAGTGATTAAGATTTGTTTGTTTATACTTAAAATATAATATTTTTAAAATTTTTATTTTTAAAGAGACTTAAGATTTTATCTGTTGTTTAATTGGAAGCGTGAATTTACTATAATATTTGAGTGATTTGGTGAGGAGGTTTAAGAGAAAAGTAACTAACTTTTATTATTTTTTTGTGAGTAAAACAAAACAAATAAGGAGGATGATTTGAAATGTGTCCACTTTTCCAAACTTTTTAAGTTTTCTATATTTTTTCTTATGTCATCCATATGTGAAATTACGCTTCCCTCCTCCGCTCATCCGTAGAGGACGTCAGAGAGGCGTTGACTAAAGCGAGATCGAGATTGAGGGAGGGAGAGAGAGAGACTGAGAACTAGATTTTTTTTATTATCTATTTTTTTTTATAAAAGAAAACAGAGAAAAGAAACACGAATAGAGTTCCAAATGAAGAAGGTTTAACAACCACGATGGTGGATCTCCTTCTTCACCATGCTTCCATCGAACAAAATCGTCTCCATCTCTGGCTCTCTTTGCAAGCTCATGAGCTACCAGATTCAAATCTCTCGATACATGTTGGATCGAAACAATATTTACAGTCGAAGGCAACTGAACTCCTTCTTCAATGATCCAATTTATCTCCGTAAAGTCAGACTCTTTAT